GTCCGTGAGCTGAAAATAATGTAAAATTTAAGACATTTTGAGAAAATTTTCATTTTTTCAAAAAATCGACCTCCACCCTTGGAAAAATTTCGGCCAAAAATAAAAATTTCACATGCGTGTTTTTTTAGCTCAATAGATTCCTTTCGACGTAAGAAGGTAACAAATATGCACTTCTGAAGTGTTTGGGTCAATAATAAGGAAGAAATCGTCGGCTAAAGATCATGAACGCTCAAAAAACGCTTAAACTGTGCCGAAAATATCTACTATTTCGAATCTGAAACTTCTAGCATGTTTTTCAATGAGTTCGATGCATTCCTCGCGTCCATGAGCTGAAAATGATGTAAAATTTAAGACATTTTGAGAACATTTTAATATTTTTTAAAAAATCGACTTGGACCCTTGGAAAAACTTTGACCAAAAATCAAAATTTGCAAAATTGCACCACTCAATTAATTAATTAATTGAACTAACTAAACAATTTGCTAAAATTAACCCAGATTAAGCAGCCAAAACCCGAAAATGCCTCCCACTTGTGCTAAGCTCCCAGATATTTACAAAAACAATTTATTCGAAATGGTTTTAAACACTCAATGTTTACACGCGATTCGGTAATTTGGGAAATGTAACGCTGTGTAAATGATAAAACCCCCTTATCTATTTAATGAATTATCCGTATTCTAATCAGTGAACCACAACATCGGAAATCACTTTAAACACCTATTTTGAGCAATTGAAGTTTTATCAACCGCCTTCCAGTGAGATTGAACGTTCTCGGATTCTTCCAGGTGTCCCAGCTAGTATAGAAATGAAAAATGTCCACTTCTATGCCATTCTGGTACTGCTAGGATCAATCGCAGTGTCCGACTTAAGCGGCCTGGTCATCATCAATGAAACTGCACAGTTTGAAACCGAGAAGACCATCCAACTTAGTGCACGCAACGAGTTTGTCCTGACTTATCCACCATCAAGTGTAAGTAGCACAATTGCAGAGCTAGATAGAAAGGCTGGAAGAAAAAATGCTGTTTATTCCAATGATGTGATCAATTCAAGGCGTCCAACCCCTACACAGTGAGAGCCTGGTCATCAGATGCCACCAGAGATCTACCAATACTGTTGGTTGCGCGACAAGCCCGGCAGGTTTCTTCTTGGACAGTTCCTCAGGTCATCGAAACTAGTCATAGTAACAAATCGATGCTCTTCTACAACACTTCGAAGACTCTCTGCCATGATGACATGCAATCCATCATAAACTATGAAGAATCCAGTGAGATTTCCAGCTAAATGAATGAGGGTTTTCAATACTTTTTTGCAGGCTTTTCTGTGGGTCCTCTAGTTCTCACCCAGACCTTTATTGTGGCCATCTCCACATCGTCGCCCACCAACGTCTCAGTCACGATAATACTGGAGGAGGAGCGGGACTTTTTCATGAAACGAGACATCGACTATACTGTTATGGTTTCTCCATCGCAGTCGAGATATAAATATTTTGCCTTTGATGAGAATTGCACGGATACGGTTGTGATCGAGGTGGATTCTACCGACGATGTCTGTCTTACCATTTCGGTGCAGGACAGTGCGGTAAGTGGAGAAAATGCTTGCAAGTTTAGAGGTGTTTGCTTACTTTTTCGATAATCTCCAAATTGATCTGTTCATTATCAGCAGATATACAAAAGTCAATTAGGTTTCTAATCGTCAAATAATGATTTTCACTTTGTTGCATTGACCTTTCTAAACCGTGGGCATATCTTGGTGGCGTTATTATAAAAGGTCAGCTGGCTCTATTTACGTTGGGATTCTTCATATTTGCTTAACGTTTTTGGGTCAAGACTATAAAAAACAAAAAAAACTCAAAAAGAGCAACAGCTTCAATGGATAAACCATTGAGGAAGGCTGGACTTTACCTGATGCTTGTATGCTTAATATTAATGTGCACACCCAACCGAATCGATTATGGATTGATTTCAGTGCCCCGTTATGGACACGAATAAGGACATTAAATATGAAGGCACCTATCAAACGGTTAATAAGAAAGGGGCCATTACAATTGCGGTGAGTAATTGATGGATAAAATCACAGAAAATTGGGCTGCGCCTTAGTTGAAAAAATTATTTTTTCTGCAACCTCAAACAACTGTTTTATTACTTATAGAAAAGGAGATACCCGGCAGGGTTTTTCTTGGTAGTGGTGGCAAAACCCGACGACTACGAATGCAGCCAGGAAAGTTCCATTATTCCGATGATTCGGTCCGCCTCAGTAATGGAAAACACCATCATATCGACCGTTACATTTAATATAAGGGAAAGCATCAGTACTCATGACTATATTTTAGCCAGCATGGGTACTTTGACGGTAGTTGCGGCCTTTGGGCTCCTGTTTACGGGAATTGTGTTCGTTTTCAACCGATTCGGAACAATCTCACGCCTGAAGCCTGAAAGTAAGTTAATTGGGCCGAAGAAGAAGATCGAAGATCACAGAAGTTTCCCCTGGAAGTGGGTTTTTGATGGAAACCTCTCCAAAAATTTCGCTTGCAACCCCTGGGGGAACTTAAGACGTTTCTGGTCAATCGGTGAAATGCGCTTATTGCCGAGCAAAACTGAAAATTTCGAGTTTTTCAACAGTTTTAAGACTATTTACTTTGAGATGAGCGCTTTCGGTCTTTATTCCTTAATTTTTAAATCCCGATTTTGTTATTTCAAAGTGTTGACTAAAAATATTTCTTACGCGTAAGCCAACGATAAATCATTAAAAACCTCATGACTTAGTAAGAAAAATCTGGGGCAACTACGAATCTTTGTATCTATCAGTTTATACAATGGAAAACCAATAGAAAGTTGGCCATGACTCCTTTGACGTTTCGCTCGCACGCATGGTTGGCATCTTCAGAGGTGTGATCACTTCGGCTGCTCAAGGTGAGGCGGAAAATTAAACAATCAGGAAAGGACGGATTACATTCGCCGCCGAGGCGAACAAACCCCTGAAGAGACCAACCAATTGAATATTGGGTCTGTAGAATTGATTAGAAAAAGACTTTTTAAAGATTATTTATAATAATTTGAAAGAAGTTTCAGGAGAAACTTTTTTCGCGGCCTCTGAAAAGAAATGAAGATTCGTATGTTGAAAATTTTCGGCATTTTTACAAATTTTGAAAATATTCTGGTAAGTTTTGATGTTTAAGTACGTTCACTAGGTATATGAGAAAAATACTCAAAGGCTTTGAAAATGCGTATTTAAGTATAAGTAATTATATATGCAAAATCATCGTTTTTTCCACAAAGTCTTTATTTTATTTTTACCAATTTATGATATAAAGCGAAAT